CATAGTAGTTGTGAGTATTGTCTGGAGAAACAGACAAGAACCTATGTTTGATGCCAGAACAGCGGCGCTGCAGTCCACAGAAAGGATACTGGGGCAGCCTTTCCCAACCAGGGTGCGAAGGCACCCTGGTGTGCCTTCAAGCTTCTTCAGGGGTGCCTTGGCAAAATGCCCAAAAATTGTATACAAGCCAGCAAGTGGATCAATTCTGTCTTTTAGTACACAAAGCCACAGGTTTTCATTGTGCACTTTTATGATCTTCTAGCTGCCTGCATCCTAACAGCCAATGACATCATCAGTTGATAAAGAGGACGTGAGGCGCATGCACATCAGCCTTGTTTGCCCCTTTTCATCAGCACTGGAGTCGCATTGGCAGACTGAGGAAGAGAAACAGTTGATACCAGTGTGCAAAGGTGTATTTGCTATGGAAGAATAAATCAACTCTAACGTTGGGTGTACTGGATGTGTGTAGAATAGTTTTTTTGCATTTTAGATTGGGGTGCCTTGAGATTGTGCAGAATTTTAAAGGGCGCCTTGACTGAAAAAAGGTTGAGAAACACTGTACTGGGGAACTGGAGAAAGTACAGAGAAGGGCACCCAAAGAGGCATGGAGGAGCTCAGCTATGAGGAAAGATTAGAGGAACTGAAATTATTCTCTCTTGAGAAGAGGAGATTAAGGGGGGACATGATCAACATGTATAAATACATCAGTGGTGTCACGTACCTGGATAGTGAGAGCCTGTCGTGAAGAGGCAGGCCTCCTGTACAGCTCTGGCTTGAGGTCTACTGGTAATGGGACAGCGGCCGCAGGAGCACGGCGAGGTAAGAGTGCCTGTGATCAGTCCAGTAGTCAGTTGAAGCAGCAGGACAGACTGATGGCAGATAACCTAGCATGGATCTTGGCTGTCAGCAGGTTGAAGACTTGCAGCAGGAACCAGGATCCAGATGCAGCTTTACAGGACATGAACTGCAGGGAGCAGGATGGAGGATACATGGTCAGACGACCCAGGTCGGTAGCAGTTGGGCAGATCAAGCATAGATGATAGGAGGCAGATTAATCGGGTCACAGGCCAGGTCAGCAGCAGAGGTTCAATCAGACAGGATCAGGAGGCAGAAGAGTAATCAAAGCCAATCTGAGGTCAGGGCAGGTAGCAGACAAGCGGAGATCAGAAACAAGCCAGTTCAGTATCAGGGGTCAAGCAGAAGAATCAAGAACACACTCAGAAGCTGTAGACCAAACAGCAATGGAACAACACTGCAGCCAGTTTATATAGCCCTTTTGGTGCCAGCATTAGTGACAGGTGTGTGCCTGAATGCATGAGTGCGCATGCGCGCCTATGCCCAAGTCCACGCACATCTGCTAGCCCGTTACTGTTCCGCGCATGCGCATACTTATGCTCCGCTAATCTTCACCTGCACTATAGGCAAGACTTTCCTGACACGTGGTCTATACAGTGAACTTAGTGTAGAATTATTCACTTTAAGGTCGTCACAGAGGACAAGGAGGCACTCTACATCTGGAGGAAAAGAGATTTAATCTCCAGCTACGAGTAAGAGCTGTGAAAATGTGGAACAGACTCCCTCAAGAGCTGGTTCAGGATTGTTCTAAGAAAGACTTGGATTCATAAATGCACATAATATAACTGGATACTAACATTTATAGGTAAAGCTGACCCAGGGAATATCCAATTGTCTCCTAGGGGATCAGGAAGCAATCCCCCCCCCCCCCCCCCCCCCCCCCCCCCCCCCCCACCGCGGAACAAATTGACAAATTGGTTCATGTTTTAGTGGGGTTTTTTTTTTTTTTTTTTTTTTTTTTTTTGCTTTCCTGTGGATCAGCTGTGGGTATTGGATAGTGTATATGGGGGCTTTCCAGTGGTTGTGTTTGTGTGCTTTTTTTTTCTTTTTGGTTGAACTGGATGGACTTGGGTCTTTTTTCAACCAGATTAACTATGTAAAATAAGAACAAGCCAGGGGCTGGTATGAAGTGTTTACTGTGGATTGTTGATAAACCCCTGCATGGGCAATCCATTTTCTTGTGCTAAAACGTAGGGAAGGAATGCCCTAAAGAGAACTGGAGAGTGATTCAAGTCTTTGGAAGCACTATACTTGAGATAACGTTCCCTATATGTGGATATATATATATATATCTACGGTATATATATATATATACAGTCAGGTCCATAAATATTGGGACATCGACACAATTCTAACATTTTTGGCTCTGTACACCACCACAATGGATTTGAAATTAAACGAACAAGATGTGCTTTAACTGCAGACTGTCAGCTTTAATTTGAGGGTATTTACATCCAAATCAGGTGAACGGTGTTGGAATTACAACAGTTTGCATATGTGCCTCCCACTTGTTAAGGGACCAAAAGTAATGGGACAATTGGCTTCTCAGCTGTTCCATGGCCAGGTGTGTGTTATTCCCTCATTATCCCAATTACAATGAGCAGATAAAAGGTCCAGAGTTCATTTCAAGTGTGCTATTTGCATTTGGAATCTGTTGCAGTCAACTCCCAAGATGAGATCCAAAGAGCTGTCACTATCAGTGAAGCAAGCCACCATTAGGCTGAAAAAACAAAACAAACCCATCAGAGAGATAGCAAAAACATTAGGCGTGGCCAAAACAACTGTTTGGAACATTCTTAAAAAGAAGGAACGCACCGGTGAGCTCAGCAACACCAAAAGACCCGGAAGACCACGGAAAACAACTGTGGTGCATGACCGAAGAATTCTTTCCCTGGTGAAGAAAACACCCTTCACAACAGTTGGCCAGATCAAGAACACTCTCCAGGAGGTAGGTGTATGTGTGTCAAAGTCAACAATCAAGAGAAGACTTCACCAGAGTGAATACAGAGGGTTCACCACAAGATGGAAACCATTGGTGAGCCTCAAAAACAGGAAGGCCAGATTAGAGTTTGCCAAAAGACATCTAAAAAAGCCTTCACAGTTCTGGAACAACATCCTATGGACAGATGAGACCAAGATCAACTTGTACCAGAGTGATGGGAAGAGAAGAGTATGGAGAAGGAAAGGAACTGCTCATGATCCTAAGCATACCACCTCATCAGTGAAGCATGGTGGTGGTAGTGTCATGGCGTGGGCATGTATGGCTGCCAATGGAACTGGTTCTCTTGTATTTATTGACGATGTGTGACTGCTGACAAAAGCAGCAGGATGAATTCTGAAGTGTTTCGGACAATATTATCTGCTCATATTCAGCCAAATGCTTCAGAACTCATTGGACGCCGCTTCACAGTGCAGATGGACAATGACCCAAAGCATACTGCAAAAGCAACCAAAGAGTTTTTTAAGGGAAAGAAGTGGAATGTTATGCAATGGCCAAGTCAATCACTTGACCTGAATCCGATTGAGCATGCATTTCACTTGCTGAAGACAAAACTGAAGGGAAAATGCCCCAAGAACAAGCAGGAACTGAAGACAGTTGCAGTAGAGGCCTGGCAGAGCATCACCAGGGATGAAACCCAGCGTCTGGTGATGTCTGTGCGTTCCAGACTTCAGGCTGTAATTGACTGCAAAGAATTTTCAGCCAAGTATTAAAAAGTGAAAGTTTGATTTATGATTATTATTCTGTCCCATTACTTTTGGTCCCTTAACAAGTGGGAGGCACATATGCAAACTTTTGTAATTCCTACACCGTTTCACCTGATTTGGATGTAAATACCCTCAAATTAAAGCTGACAGTCTGCAGTTAAAACACATCTTGTTTGTTTCATTTCAAATCCATTGTGGTGGTGTATAGAGCCAAAAATGTTAGAATTGTGTCGATGTCCCAATATTTATGGACCTGACTGTATATATTTATAAAATTGTTTGTATATTTGTATGTCTAGGAAAGTCACCTCATTCTGAAAATTAATGCATGCAATGCTTTTTAATTACAGTTCTTTTCTGATGACACAACCCATCCTAACAGTCTATGTAAAGGCAGGAAAGTAAAGGGAAGGCTGGGAGTTGTGAAAAGCTCAACAAACCCCAAAGTAAAAATGGTGGATCAAGGAAGTTTGAAACTTGAAAGTTGTCAACTGTTTGAGGATATTAGTTATAGTTATGCTTAAAACCAGGGCTTTTTTTTGCAGAGAATAGGTGCAGGAACTCTCCCTTTCTAAGTCACCCCTTATCTCCATCCCACACTGTCTCTTAGTTCCACTCCTTACCTACGTCCCAGTACCGCCCTTTTAGAGAATACAGAAGCAAATATCAATTGTATGGAATTTGTTATGGATAACAAGTAGTATAATAGATCCCCTGCAGCCAGCAACAATAACCCCCCTCCCTCAGCAACAATGCACAACCTGCAACAAAATACCCCAACTCAGCAACAATAGACTCTTGGAAACAACAACAGATCTCCCCAGAGCCACCATCAATAGATCCCTCCCTCAACAGTAGATCCCTCCCAGCAACAATTGGCCACACAGCAACATAATACCCATCCACAGAAACAATAGATCCCCCACCATCAACAGTAGACCTCTCTAGCATCAATAGACTCCCTCCTCCCCTGCACAAAAATAGATCCCCTCCAGCGACAATAGATCCGCGAGTAGCCAGCATCAATAGACCCTGCAGTACACCCCACCACCCCTTGCCATTACATACATTTAGTGCTGAAGGTGCCGGAACTGTGTTCCCGCTGAAAAAAACTACTCGTGACTGAACCTTAAACCATGTGAATCTGTTCCTTCATTACTAAATACCAATGCAAAAACAAATCATGCTTATCAGAGACCTTTAAAGACTATTCTTGTATTGTACTTTGACCTTTACTGATCACTGAAGAAGTAGATTATCAGTTCAGTACCAAGTCAGGTCCACTGAGGTCCTTTTTAAAACCATGTCATTAGATTATAGGTATGGTATGTCTTTGCTCTACTGAGTATTCTATAATTAAGTGCTTGTTCTCAACTCTGACCTCTCTTGTCATCTGAACTGATTTGATGACTGTGGATTTTTTTTTCTGTACGTTGCAGGTCTCTCTTTGGAACATTCAACACTTACCTTTCCAGATCTTATCAGACTTGTATCCTACTACAGTTCCGAAAGGTAATTATAACACATTTCCTCTCCTTATGATGGTAGCAAGTGTATGTAAACCCTAAGGCCCCATTCACACTATGAATCAAATTGCACTGCTGTCACGACAAACCACATCGCCTGAAGCGTGTCACCCAAAAGAAGTTCAGGAGCTTCTTTTATGTGACATGTGTCATGCAATGCGGTTTGGCGTGATTGCAGCATGATTTGTCGTGCAACAATTACGGCAGAACCGCACCACGTTTTTAAGTGCCAATAAAATGAATGGCACCTCAACATGCTATTGTGCGATTTGACATTTTAGCAAAGCGTTTTGAAATCCTGAGCAGAATCGTAGCGATTCTGCCCAAGATTCAAAACACCATAGTGTGAATGGGGCTTAACAACTGTTCTTTGCCCAATTATGATCTACCACTTATTGTATATTATTGAAAGTGTTTTGTTATAAAAGTGCATTTTCTATGTTGCCAAAAATCTTGTGAACTGATGACTTTCTGTGATCTCTGCCTGTACACAAGGAGGAGTTATTGACAGCGCTGGATTTATAAGGGGGCAAAAGACGCAACTGCCCTGGGCCCCCTCGCAGAAGAGATCCCCCTACTTAAAAAATAATAGAAAACAGTATAAAAAGAAAAGAAAAAAGTTGCAAAACTTGAGTTTGTCATGTGAATTAGACAGTCACACATGTTACTATTTACTATTCACATGGCAAACTCAAGGCAATTTTCTTCTTTTCTTTTTTTATTTTATTTGCTTTGTTTATTTTATTACTATAATTTTTTGTTTTGCTTGTTTGGATTTTATTTCTGAATATTTTTCTGCATAATGTGAAAATTAAATTAAAATTTAGTAAAAAAAAAAAATAAATAAAAAAAAATATAGATTATAAAATAATAAAAAAATAAACAATAACAAAAGAGTATAAATATATAATAATGAAAAAAAAATACTTTCTTTCATTAAATATATCTTAGGAAGTAATATTTTGCTTGCCATCATCTGTAAAGGTTTTTACTCTGCACTGGTATATTGTATTGTTTTAAAAAAACATATATTGGTGGCTCAAATGGACCACACATAGAGTGTTTACACTCTTAAAGTAGAACTATAGTCAATTTTTTTTTTTTAATTTTAGGAGTGCACTATGCACAGGGTGAAGAGTTAAGGAGTGTGCTAAGTACAAGGTGCAGGACTTTGGAGTGCGCTATATACAGGGTGTAAGGCTCAGGAACGCACTGTATACAGGGTGCAGGGTTCAGGAGTGAGCTACGTACAAGGTGCAGGACTCAGGAGCGCACTATGTTCAGGGTGCAGGGCTCAGGAGTGAGCTAAGTACAGGGTGCATGACTTGGGAGTGCGCTATATACAGGGTGTAAGGCTCAGGAGCGCACTATGTACAGGGTGCAGGGCTCAGGAGTGAGCTACGTACAGGGAGCATGACGTGGGAGTGCGCTATATACAGGGTGTAAGGCTCAAGAATGCGCTGTATACAGAGTGCAGGGCTCAGGAGTGAGCTACATACAAGGTGCAGGACTCAGGAGCACACTATGTATAGGGTGCAGGGCTCAGGAGTGAGCTACGTACAGGGTGCATGACTTGGGAGTGCGCTATATACAGGGTGTAAAGCTCAGGAATGCGCTGTATACAGGGTGCAGGGCTCAGGAGTGAGCTATTTACAAGGTGCAGGACTCAGGAGCGCACTATGTATAGGGTGCAGGGTTCAGGAGTGAGCTACGTACAGGGTGCATGACTTGGGAGTGCGCTATATACAGGGTGTAAGGCTCAGGAATGCGCTGTATACAGGGTGCAGGGCTCAGGAGTGAGCTACTTACAAGGTGCAGGACTCAGGAGCGCACTATGTACAGGGTGCAGGGCTCAGGAGTGAGCTACGTACATTGAGCATGACGTGGGAGTGCGCTATATACAGGGTGTAAGGCTCAGGAGTAAGCTACGTACAGGGTGCATGATGTGGGAATGCGCTATATACAGGGTGTAAGGCTCAGGAATGCGCTGTATACAGGGCGCAGGGCTCAGGAGTGAGCTACTTACAAGGTGCAGGACTCAGGAGCGCACTGTGTACAGGGTGCAGGGCTCAGGAGTGAGCTACGTACAGGGTGCAGGAACAGGCCAGTTTAAGCCGAATGCTATGATCCAAGTACAGAACTTCCCCCCACACCCACCTTTCCAGTGCTATGCTGTCCCTTCTCCCCAAAATCCTCTCACCTTCACCTAGAGAGCACCATAGAGAAAAGAGAGGGGCACCCACAACTTACAGTGTCAGAGCTTGCCCAGGCTGTGTTCACGGGCTTCAGAGCAGCTGCCACCAGGACACTAGAGTGGCTGTGCACATCCCCCGGCCCCTCCCTCCTCTTCTCTCATAGGGACCGTGCAGGGCAGGGAGGGCTGTGTGCAAATTGCTGGTAAAAAAGGACCCGTCACCTGTACACACAGAAGCTAGGCCTCATTATACTTTAAGGAAGGTGGCCTATGACCTCACACTTTATGTTGTGTTGTGCACTTTAAAATGTACGACTGTCATTGAGAATGTAAACCAACTTTGTGGATGAGGCCCCCCTGAACTTGAAGTGCCCCCAATGTTTACATCTGGCACTAGTTTTGGAGACGAGGAGGAGGGGTGATTAGGAGAGGTCTGTGTTTTTTTTAAACATTTGAAATAAAATAGGCAGGGCTGACAACATATGCTTAGGAATTCAGAGCCAAAAGTACACTATGTTGTCATATCAAAGTGGAAGGTAGGAGAACACTATATTTCAGAGGCATCACCCATCATTTTTCAGTATTTCAATATGTATAAAGTAATAAAACATATGAAAATGTTGATACATAGCAAATATTTATGCAATACAGTATGTTTATTTTTAATTTTGCTTTGACGTGCGCTTTAAAGTGTAACTAAAGGCAAAACCTTTTTTTTTCAATTTTTTGATAGAGGGGAGAGGGATTAGAACACCTGTCAGAATTTTATTGCTGTCTGTTCCCCCGTTAGAGGGAATAACCCTCTCTGATTTCTGCCAACACCAGTTATAGAAGATCTTTTTTATTCAAATAAAAATCGTCGACTCTGGATGCAGCAACACTCTGTGCTATGACTTCATAAAATCTAGCCAATTGCCTGAGGAGAGTTTGTGTGCGGTAAAAACAGATGAGTAGTTACATGTGAACAACAGAGCTGGCTGATGTTGATTCTCTAGAGCAGCGGTCTTCAAGATTTCTAAACAAAGGGCCAGTTTATTAAACTTCAGACTGTAGAGAGGCCAAACTATGGCCTGTAGAAAGTAGAAAATGTTCTGGTGTCGGCAACAATGCCCTATCATTGGTGTCAGTGAGAGGAATAGCACCCTATCACTGGTGCCAGCGAGAGCAATAGTGCTCTATCATTAGTGTCAGTGATAGAAACCCCATCATTAGTGTCGGTAGGATGAAAAGTGCCCCATAACTGGTATCAGTGGGAGGAAAAGTACCCCCAACATTGGTGTCAATGGAAGGAATAGCGCCCCATGTTTGGTGTCAGTGGGAGAATAGTGCCCCATCATTGGTGTCAGTGGGATAAATAGTGTCTCATCACTGGTTTCAGTGGCAGAAATTATGCCTCACTGTTAATGTCAGGGGGAAGATTAGTGCCCCAAGGGGCATATAAAGGCACACAAAGGGCCACATCTGGCCCCCAGGTTGCAGTTGGAGACCACTGGTCTATTTGACAGCCCCTGCTGACAGCTGCTGTCTGTTGCACACAGTGTGTGCAAGCAGCAATTGCAGCCATCGACAAGAATCTACTTATTCTTGCCAGCGGCTTCACATATTCGGCTGTCTGAATGTAACCTAACGAGCTGAGGGTGGGGGACTCAGGTAGGTATGTAGGTGGTAGATACTGGTAGTGCTGCATACAGGCTAAGAGCTTTTACCCTAGAAGAAGTCTAGTGGGTGCACTGTACATTGCAATGGGAATTCAGCTCATTAGGCATATGGCATGTATTTTCAATGTTCTAATTACATAGTATATGTACCGGCGTACCTCGGTTTTCGAACGCCTCGGTTAACGTAATTTTCGGTTTACGAATGAAAATCCATTGAAAATAATGCTTCAGTTTATGATTTTTTTTTTCGCAATACAAACGGATTAATTGGTTTTCAATGCATTTACAAATTTTTTTGTAATCATGTCCCTGTACAGTACTATGCCTTTAAAGTGCACTTTCTGAACAATTTTGAACAGATAAAACTTTTTTTACTTTTTTCTGACCTCCGGAACGGATTAACTGTTTTTCAATGCATTTACAAATTAATTTTTAATCATGTCTCTTTACAGTATTTATGCCTTTAAAGTGCACTTTATAAAGAGTTTTGAACAGATAAAAGACTTTGTTTTTACTTTTTTCTGACCTCTGGAACGGATGAGTTGGTTTTCATTGCATTCCTATTGGAAACCGCGTTTCAGTTTACAAATTGTTTGCAATACGAAAAGTCCCGCAGAACCAATTAATTTTGTAAACCGAGGTACGCCCACATATATGTGTATATATATATATATATATATATATATATATATATATATATATATATATATATAAAAATTTCCATAAAAAGGCTCTGACAGATATGATGCAGTGAACATATATATGGGAATGGTGTGATTTTTATGAATATTAAATGGGTGTCTCATCTTAAATGAGAAGCTAAATAAATAGTGACTCTTGTTTATGATTTGTCTTCAAAGAAACATGGAAATGCCCTGTCTTATAAGCAACAGTAATATTTTGGTTCCCATATTTTAGAAAATGAAGGGTTGTATGAGATGGGTGGGGAGCTTCTGTACATGTAAAACTGTATTTCATTAACTCTGTGCAGAGGTGGCTCTAAGCTTTGTGAGCCCTTAGGCAAAACGTAGACATGAGGCTCCACTCAATCCAATTATCAATCCAACCACATTCAGCTGCACTTTCAAGCATTTTTCTTTTTCAACATGTATTCTTCTTTGCACTGTTAAACTTATTTTGTATCTTGCATGTAACTTGTGTCCCTATTTTTCAGGGATGTTCTCCCCTATACACTAAGACTTCCTGCAGCTATAGAAAAAGTGACTTCCCGAAAAGAACTGGAGGCTATTTCCAATCTAGGACATGGTAAAGAAATGAGATTTTATTATGCATACAGTATATACTGATAATCATGAGTAAAATAAGAAAAAGCCAGGTAAAGCAGTTGGACCTAGTTTTTTTTTCTGAAATTGTCATCCTCATGTTAACTCTATACTTTTTGCTGCCAGACTGGTTGCAAATGGTAATACAGCTCTGTTAATGGATTGTTGATGTGGATGAGATCTGTGTGTGTGTCAGTGGATGATTACAAAAACAAAACCTTATAATTCAGAAGTAATAAACACATTTTACAACATAATCTAATCAAAAATATATATGCAATTTTATTGGGGTGCCTACAGACTGAAGTCCAGAACAACGAAACGACACCATTGGAGTGCCTACTGTCATATAACACCAAATACTGTATATTGCTTGTAAGGTATATTACCATGTATGATGGCTTAACAATAAAAAAAGAAAGATATGTTCTCCACTTTAGGGAACAAGTATACTACACAAAGATCTAGCACAAAGAAAGAACAAACAGTGGCAATGTATGAATGGTTTATACTATATAGCAGAACTATTGCAGTGGCTAGGTTGCTACCATTCTTGTTTTGCAGTGCTGGGATATTGGGCTCAAAGTACACTACAGATGCAATCTTCATAGAACTTGAATAGACTCCCTCAGTTTGCATTATCTCTGTATGTATGCTTTGTATTCCTTGAACAACCCCAAACATACTTATAAGTCAAAAGGCTTCAATCCAGCCTGTTCATGTGTATGTGTCTATATCACTGTGGTGGGGAAAATGCATACTATAGAGTTTATTTTCCAAAGGCAAATTAAATTATTACTTTGTAAGGGAATTTTCCTTTAGCTTAGTGAATGTGGTGAAAATTCACTTTACAAAGAATAACCAATCAGGTTTAAAGAAAATAAAAAAAGATAATATTATAGATGAAAGTCAGCAGAGCCTCCCCTCATTCACTCTGCTAAGAGAAAATTCTCTTGCAAAGTGAATAGCCTGGTTTTAGTTAACTCTTATGCTACATTGAGGCAGAAAGTAAAAAGTGAATGGTTGTATATGCTCTTTTATGTCCCGTATTTGATTTTTCACCTTCTAAATCAGTTCTCTTGTTATTTAACTTGCCTTTTAGAGTTCTGGAATTCCTCACTTAATGCTCGTGATAATTCTCCAGCTCCAACTTCCAGTACTAACTCTCTTACACTCTCCTTGTCACCTCTGCCTGAGCTACCGGACACTATCAGCCCAACTCTTGTTCCTGCACTCAAAACTCGCAGCCCGAAGGAGGTTTCCTTGGGTGGGAAAGAAGGAGCACTCTTTTTTCTTAATCCTCTTTTCAAATCCAAAGACTCTGGAGCACTCAAACGCTCCCACTTCCAGAAGAGTATCAAAGTAAGGGTGTCTACTGAAAATTCAGGTTCCCTTTCTCCTCCTCTAAACCCACCTCCTCCAGTACCCTGTGAGGAAGCTGTAAAAGAGGAAGAAGAGGTGGTGTCAGTGGAGGCTTCACATGGAACTGAGACAAGACAAACAAACTGAGGATTTATCAGAAGAGTATAGAAAGCCTCGGTCCTCTCTTAGACAGCGTTTGAGAAAGAGCTTAAGTAAAGGTAGTCGTGACCTTGGCATAAAGCTGTCACCATTGCGGTCTAAAGATGTTGGTGACTACAATGTCCCTTCCACAATGACAAAAACACAAGACTCAAAAGATGCAAAAGAGAACCACGTCAATGGAGTGTCCACTTTGGAAGATCAGGATAGTGGATCCATCAGCAGTGCAGATGATGTAACGTCAGAGGATGGTGGAAAGTCTCCACAGCTTACACGCAGAAAGAAAAAGAAAAGTGGTCGTTCCTCATTTCGAGCAGTTAGTGGAGCTTTCTTGTCCCTTTTGTCCCCAGAACGAAAAATGATGATATTAATAGAGGAAATGGGAAAAGATATATCAACTGAGTTTGGAAAGGAACTGCAAGCCTTTCTTCAAAATATGGAACTGAGGAAAAATAAAGATGTAAAGGATAAGACACAGGAGGGACCTACAACTTCTAAGAGTTTGTTAAAGGAAATCAGGGATTTTATAGATCATATGAAGCATATGTTAAGAGAGAGTGCAGAGATGCACCTGGACATGCTTATTCCTGAGGAACAAGGTTAGTAATGTTCCATAAAAGGGCTCTGACAGATATGAAGCAGTGAACATATATATGGGCATGATGTGATTTTTATGAATATTAAATGCGTGTCCCATCTTAAATGAGAAGCTAAATAAATAGTGGCTCTTGTTTAAGATTTGTCTACAAAGAAACATGGAAATGCTTATCTTATAAACAACAGTAATATTTTGGTTCCCATATTTAAGAAAATGAAGGGTTGTATCAGATGGGTGGGGAACTTCTGTGTTGGTATAAAATGTAAAACTGTATTTCATTAACTCTGTGCAGAGGTGGCTGTAGGCTTTATGAGGCCTTAGGCAAAACTTAGACATGAGGCCCCACTCACGCCCATAATAGGAAAAATAATTCAAGCAATTTTAGCGTAATTAGCTGTATAAACTGCACACATTAAGAGCCTTGAATCCTATGAACTATGAATTGACAGTTTCCAGCAAAGAGACATGCCCCATATATCCAGCAAAGAGACATACCCCATATTTTTAGCAAAGGAACATCCCCCATATATCCAACAAATAGACATCCCCATATATCCAGCTAAGAGACAGCCCAATCCAGCTAAGAGACAGCCCAATCCAGCTAAGAGACAGCCCAATCCAGCTAAGAGACAGTCCAATCCAGCTAAGAGACAGTCCCTGCTAAGCTAGAAGACAGTCCATCCAGCTAAGGCTGGCCATACACTATACAATTTCCTTACAATTTTCTGTCTAATTTCTGAATTTCTGCCCAATTTCCTTTAGATTTACCTTCAACTGTGTAGTGCAAGGGCCTGCCTAATTGGATACAAATGAAAGTGTTGTTTGGGTTTGACCTCCTTTTATATGTTTTTTGGTAAATCTAAAGCAAAAATCTCAAGAGAATTGAATATTGTATGGCCAGCCTTAGAGACATCCCAATCCAGCCAAGAGACAGTCTAATCCAGCTAATAGACAGCCCAATCCAGCTCAGAGACAGTCCAATCCAACTAAGAGGCAGCCCAATCCAGTTAAGAGACAGTCCCAACTGAGCTAACAGACAGTCCATCCAGCTAAAAGATAGCCCAATCCAGCTCAGAGGCAATCCAATCCAACTAAGAGGCAGCCCAATCCAACTAAGAGACAGTCCCAGCTGAGCTAACAGACAGTCCATCCAGCTAATAGATAGCCCAATCCAGCTCAGAGACAATCCAATCCAACTAAGAGGCAGCCCAATCCAACTAAGAGACAGTCCCAGCTGAGCTAACAGACAGTCCATCCAGCTAATAGACAGCCCAATCCAGCTCCGAGACAGTCCAATCCAACTAAGAGGCAGCCCAATCCAGTTAAGAGATAGTCCCAGCTGAGCTAGAAGACAGTCCATCCAGCTAATAGACAGCTCAATCCAGCTAAGAGACAGTCCCAGCTGAGCTAACAGACAGTCCAACCCAGCTAAGAGACAGTCCAAATCAGCTATGAGACAGACCAATCCAGCTATGAGACAGCCCAAACCAAGTAAGAGACAGCCCAAACCACGTAAGAGACAGGTGACTGATGCTAAACAACTCCTCTACACTCACTGCTGTTTCCATAATCCACAGCAGAGCAGCACAGTGATGATCACAGTGAGCAGTCAGTCAGGCTACAGTGTCGCTCTTCTTCCACTCAACTCTGAGCGCCTGAATGCGACTGCTGTCAAGGATGCTTCCGGTCTGCAGGGACAGGCAGAGTGTGGTTGATATCACTCCACCTTCCCTTCCAGTGCAGTGCAGCTGCCGAAACTATTGAGCCGGCTCGAGCCCTATTGCATTTCGCCAGCCACCAGCTCAATTTGTGGCCTCTCCCCAACCTCCAGGCCAGCCCAAAAAAAAAGCCCTGGTGTTAGTTAGGCAAATTAGGCAGCTGCGAGGCCCCTGTGAGTGCGAGGCTTTAGGCAACCATTTAATTTGCCTAATTATAGAGCCACCTCTGTCTTTGTGTTATACACTATATTGCCAAAAGTATTGGGACACCTGCCTTTACACAGACATGAACTTTAAGGGCATCTTAGTTTTAGTCCGTATGGTTCAATATTGAGTTGGCCCAACCTTTGGAGCTATAACAGCTTCAGCTCTTCTGGGAAGACTGTCCACAAGGTTTAGGAGTGTGTCTATGGAAATGTTTGACCATTCTTCCAGAAGTACATTTGTGAGGTCAGGAACTGATTTCTGACGAGAAGGCCTGGCTCACAGTCTCTGCTCTCATTCATCCCAAAGGTGCTCTGTGCAGGCCAGTCAAGTTCCTCCACCCCAAATTCGCTCATCCTTGTCTTAATGGACCTTGCTTTGTGCACTACTGCGCAGTCATGTTGGAACAGGAAGAGGCCATCCCCAAACTGTTCCCACAAAGTTGGGAGTATGAAATTGTTCAAAATGTCTTGGTATGCTGACACCTTAAGAGTTCTCTTCACTGGAATTAAGGGACCAAGCCCAACCAATGAAAAACAACCCCACACCATAATCCCCCTCCACCAAACTTTACACTTTGAACAATGCAGTCAGGCAAGTACCGTTCTCCTGGCAACCGCCAAACCCAGAAAACGTCCATTGGATTGCCAGACAGAGAAGCGTGATTCGTCATTACAGAGAACATGTCTCCACTGCTCTAGAGTCCAGCGGTGACATGCTTTACACCACTGCATCTGATACTTTGCATTGCACTTGGTGATGTAAGGCTTGAATGCAGCTGCTCGGCCATGGAAACCCATTCCATGAAGCTCTCTACGCTCTGTTGTTGTGCTAATCTGAAGGCCACATGAAGTTTGGAGGTCTTTAGCTATTGACTCTGCAGACAGTTGGCAACTTCTGCACACTGTGCGCTTCAGTATGCGCTGAACCCACTCTGTCATTTTATGTGGCCTACCAATTTATGGCTGAGTTGCTGTTGTTCCCAGTTGCTTACACTTTGTTATAATACCACTAACAATTGACCATGGAATATTTAGTAGCAAGGAAATTGCACAGATGGCAACCTATCATGGTACCACGCTTGAATTTGCTGAGCACCTGGGAACGACCCATTATTTCACAAATGTTTATAAAAGCAGTCTGCATGCCTAGGTGCTTGATTTTATACACCTGTGGCCATGGAGGTGATTGGAACGCCTGAATACAATGATTTGGAAGGGTGTCCCAATACTTTTGGCAATATAGCGTATGTAGCTGCAGACTTCTAAATGGTCACCTGCATTTTAATATATTGGTGACAATTGCCCAAGATGGAATTTTACATAATTTTTTGGGAGATTTCCTTTGATCTGTTACTGTATGAGGCTAGAAGTGAAAGGAATTCTCCACAATAAAGGCCGCAAAAATTGAAAACGAATGACAGATTGCAAAAGACAGCAGGACCAACCCCAAAAAATTCTTCAAATATATTAATAGTAAAAAGGTCCGGTCCATGCATGTAGGCCTTTGACAAAATAATCTAGAGTGGGTGACTGGGGACAAAGAGAAGGCAAATTTATTTAATACCTTCCTCAGCTCTGTGTGTACAAAGGAGTATGGGGGAGCTCTTGTCCGTAATGGGCATGGTATTGACACAGCTCCAGATGATCCACATTGGCTCACAATTGATATGACCTGCAAATATTTAGACAGAATAAAGGTGAATAAAGCACCTGGACTGGATGGCATACACCCACGGGTCCTTAAAGAATTGAGCTCTGTCATTTCAAAGCCATTGTTTCTAATTTTTAGGGACTCTTTAATGACTGGCATAGTACCACTGGATTGGCGTAAGGCCAATGTGGTGCCAATATTTAAAAAGGGGTCAAAATCTTTACCAAGTAATTTTAGACCTGTTAGTTTATCTTCTATAGTTGGGAAGATACTGGAGAGTTTAATAAAAGACTACATAGATGAGTTATTGCTGGAAAAAAATATTTTAAGCAACAGACAGCATGGATTCATGAAAGACAGAAGTTGCTAAACAAATCTGATTTCTTTTTATGAGGGGGTGAGCAAAACCTTGGACAGAGGGGTGGTGGTGGACGTGGTATACTTGGATTTTGCAAAAGCGTTTTGACACAGTTCCCCACACACGGCTAATGTGTAAGGTAAAGTCTACGGGCTTGGAAAAATCTGTATGTAATTGGATAGAAAACTGGCTAAAAGATTGTATTCAGAGAGTAGTGGTTAATGATTCATACTCTGAATGGTCTGGGGTTATCATTGTTGGGACCCTTACTTTTTAATATATTTATTAACAATATAGGGTCTGTGATTAAAAATCCCATTTCAGTCTTTGCAGATGACACCAAGCTGAGCAGTGGAATAACGTCTTTACAGGATGTCTTCAATTTACAAGCTGACCTCAATGCACTGTTTAATTGGGCAACTATGTGACAAATGAGGTTTAATGTTGATAAATGTAAGGTTATGCACTTGGGGGCTAAGAATATGCATGCATCATACATACTAGGGGGGTACAACTGGGGGAATCAATGGTGGAGAAGGATCTGGGAGTTCTGATAGTTTACAAGGTTAATAATGGCATGCAATGCCAAGCTGCAGATTCTAAAGCGAAAAAAATCCTCTCTTGTATAAAAGAGGTAAAGACTCCAGAGAGAGATATCATTTTACCCCTGTACACATCATTAGTAAGACCTCATCTGGAATATGCAGTTCAGTTTTGGGCACCAATTTACAAAAAGAGCATTGGTGAACTGGAGAAAGTGCAGGGAAGAGCAACTAAACTGATACGGGGCATGGAGGAGCTCAGCTATGAGGAAAGATTAGAGGAACTGAATTTATTCTCTCTTGAGAAGAGGAGATTAAGGGGGATATGATCAGCATGTATAAATACATCAGTGGTTCATATAGTGAACTCGGTGTAGAGCTATTCACCCTGAGGTCATCACAGAGGACAAGGGGGCACTCTTTACGTCTGTAGGAAAAGAAATGTGATCTCCAAACATGGAAAGGTTTCTTTACAATGAGAGCTGTGAAAATGTGGAATAGACTCCCTCAAGAGTTGGTTCTGGCCAGCTCAGTGGATTGCTTCAAAAAAGGCCTGGATTCTTTCTTAGATACACAGCATATAACTGGATACTAACATTTATAGGTAAAGTTGATCCAGGGAATATCCGATCGCCTCTCGGGGGATCAGGAAGGAATTTTTTCCCCAGCAGGAACAAATTGGATCGTGCTTTGCTGGGGTTTTTTTTGCCTTCCTCTGGATCAACTGTGGGTATAGGATTATAACTATTTTTTTTTTTTTCTATGGTTGAACTGGATGGACTTTTGTCTTTTTTAAGCCAGACTAACTTGGTAACTATGTAACAATAACTTCAAACAAAGCAATAAAATATTTGTTGTTGTGCAGTAAGACTAATTTAAGGCAGTATTATACTCAAAATTAATAATGTAATATATTGCAGCTTACCAATGCTTAGATGTGGTGGCTACATTAGTTTTGTTTTTTTTAGGCTTTTTCCCCTCTGTTTTCACCTCGTGATTTAACCAGTAACACACCTCCTGTATTAGAGTGCTCCCATTCAGGATGAAGGATCACAGGAGCACCTTTGGATGGCAGCATTGTCAGTCTGGGGGGGGGGGGAGTAGTTGATGTACTATAAGATTTAAATACACTAACAAATTTAAGCCAAACTCCAGCTCACACTAAAGTTACATAGGCAGTTACAGCAACAGTTTTTTTTCTTTTGTGATAAAGGATTTACATAAATAAAAGCAGATAAATCATAAAAATTGCTGCACTGCACTGCCTCTCCCAAAAATTACTTTAAATAATTAATGAATGAACTCCCTACTCCACAAAGGGTCCCCACGAATGTGCATGTACTATAATGCCCCGTGTGCTGGCAATTATATCCCTCCTCACCAGTGACTAAAACCTAAATAAACCAATACAAGGTGCTTAAACGACAATAGTACTAAAAATAGCACATATACAATGCCATAAACTGTATATACAGTGAAATTGTATAAAACAATATATGTATATAATTTATATATTAAGGTCCCAAAAAGTTCCAAAAAAATTGACCTCTGCGTGAGGTCCCAATCATGTGATCACTGATTAGCCAATCAGTGATTACATGAATAGTAGTAAGCAAGATGTCACTTCTGACATCATTGCTTGCTACGTGTGAAATCTGTGAATGATCACAGAGATCACATGGTACAAGACTATTCACAGCAGCCTTGTACCATGTGACAAGCTGTGACCAATCACAGCTCTCACAGTATTTCTCAATGGCTGCAAGAATGCAGCCAGAAAGAAAGAAAATTTATTGCTTTTACAGCCTTTATGGGTGTAAAAGCAATCAGTGTTAAAAAAAAAAAAAAAATTATCAACCCTCACAAGTAGTACAGTGTCACTATGGTGACACTGTACTGCTAGGGTGACAGTATGTTAAAAAAAAACAAATAATAATATAAAAAAATAAACTAAAAATGTAAAAAAAAGTTTTAAAAATTATAATTTTTGTTTATAAACTAATTTGGGTTTTTTTTTTTTTTTTTTTTTTACTAAAAAGATAACTGAATACATTTTGGCCAAGATTTATGAAGAAAGATTATTTATTTGCAAAATTTTATAAGAAAAACACTTTTTTTCAAAATGTTTGGACTTTTCATTTATATAGTAAAAAAAATAAAAATCCCAGTGGTGAATAAAAACCACCAAAATAAAGTTTTATCTGTCTCAAAAAGATGCTAAAAAAATTAATATGGGAACAGTGTTGTCATTCAAAGTGTGAAAACGCTGAAAGCTGAAAATTGGCCTGGACAGGAAGGGGGTAAAAGTGTCCGGACTTGTGGTTCGGAAGTGGTTAAGTGATACAGTAGTGAATCTTCTTATCCATAGCAATTCTCTGTGCATAGTGCTCCAATTAGTGCTCCCCCTCCAGAGCTCCACTCACCACAGATAATCGACCACCTAGAATGGTAGGTCAAATATCGCATAAGATGTTGCAGCGCTCTCCTGCAGGAAAGTTGGCCGTCTGTGTGGTCTTGACACCTCTATAGGCTGATGACTCCATAGTGGAAACACCTCTAGATCAATCGTTTGTGAAAAAACTCTCCACCACCACCTCCTTGCTGGAGTGCTGTTCCTGATTCCTTTCACATGTTTGGTTTGTCTGTGCTCACCTATCTAAGTATATCTTGGGATTCTTTTGGAACTTTAATTTTTTTGGAACTTTTTGGGACTATAATATATAAAATATATACATATATTGTTTTATACAATTTCACTGTATTGTATATACAGTTTATGGCATTGTATATGTGCTATTTTTAGCAATATTGTCGTTTAAGTACCTTGTATTGGTTTATTTAGGATTTAGTCACTGGGGAGGAGGGGATATAATTGCCAGCCCACGGGGCATTATAGTACATGCACATTCTTGGGACCCTTTGTGGAGTACGGAGTTCATTCATTAATTATTTAAAGTAGTATTTAGGAGGGCAGTGCAGCAATTTTTAGGTTTGCACTCATTTGTTCACCAGTACATATTTGTGATTTTGCTAGCAGCAGCCAGTCTAATTGATCAGTCCTCTGCACAGGTTATACTCACACAACAGCTGATCAATGTACACACTCCTGCCAGAGGTAAATGGTTTGTGTCAACACTTAACTGCTATGTCTTCAGGACAGCTTATTCTGTTGAAAAACAACAGATTTACTGTCTGGATCACCAGATGAAAACAGAAGAAAGAAATTCTAGAAAAAGAAAACTATTGCAGTCATCACATCTAAGAATTGATAATCTGCAATATATCACAAACAACAGAAATTTTTCTAGCACACTTACCAGCTAGCCAAAAAACAAACAAATTGACCCAGTCTACCAATTCACATTAAAAAGGGTTTAGTTGCATACATTTACAAATATATGTGAAAGCTGCAGTGCCTCACCAATGCTCCCCTGTATAGTGCGGTCTAAGTCTATGGTTTTGAGAGTCTCCAGTTTGGAGCACATATAGTAGTGGAAGAAGTGTCTGGAGGGGGCCCACTCCTTCTTAACCATTTCAATACACCTTCCTGCCCAGGCCAGTTTTCAGGTTTCAGCGCTCTCACGCTTTGAATGACAATTGCGCGGTCATACAACATTGTACCCAAACTAAAATTTTATAGTTTTTTCTTCACACAACTAGAGCTTTCTTTTGGTGGTATTTAATCACCGCTGGGGTTTTTATTTTTTGCTAAATTAACAAAAAAAAAGACAAAAAATTTTGAAAAAAAACACGTTTTTCTTTGTTTCTGTTATAAAAGTTTACAAATAAATAATTGTTCTTCATAAATTTAGGCCAAGATGTATTCTGCTACATGTCTTTGGTGAAAATAACCCAAATTAGGATGTATTATTTAGTTTGTAGGAAAGTTATAGAGTTCACAAACTATGGTATAGATCTGAAAATTGATCAATCCTGAAGTACTGACAGCCAATCTAATTTCCTGAGGTCCAAGAAAGTCAGAATAGTACAGATATCCCCAAATGACCCCTTTTTGCAGAGTAGACAGTCGGACGTACTTCATAAGAGGAATGGCGAGTTTTTTGAAGTTGTATTTTTTTGTCATAATTTTTTCGGAAAATTAAAAAATTTAAAAAATTATTTTCACTATTTTTTACATACTGTCACCAGTGCAGTACAGCGTCATCATATAACTGGCATAGCGGTGAACAGGGACACTGGTGACAGTATGAAAAAAAAATATATATATATTTTATTTTTTATTTTTTTTATTTTTTTATTACTTTTTTTAAATATTTTTTTTCATATTTTACTATGACCAAAGTAGTACAATGTTACCATAGTAACATTGTACTACTTTGGGGAAGTGATCAGTATTTTTTTTTTTGTTTACACAATTTGCTTATAGCAAAGAATTACTTTGCTATAAGCAAGCATTTACCTGAATGACATCGATTCATTCAGGTTTTTTTTTTTTTTTTTTGTGCTTAGCTGTGATTTGGCCACAGCTAATCACATGACATGTGCATGTGACCTGCTGTGACCATTCACAGCTAGGCACTAGTATACAATGGATGGCATGAATGAAGCCATCCATTGTGTACAACTGTCAAGTGACCTGCTGTGATTGGTCACAGCAGGTCACATGGTACCGGCAACAGGGGCCAGTACTCAGATCTGTCATCGGCTGTGTCCGAGGTACACGGCCGGTGACAGATCGCGCTGCTGCGCGGCTCTGCAACCGCGCGAACTGTGCATGTGCGGGAGGACACCAAATGGCGTATACCCCAGAAATCTGCAGCATTTTTGCGGCTGCCAAACCGCTATAGGCCAGGCGGCTAATGGTTAAAGGTTCAGGGGCACATTGGATGACTATCAAGCGCACAATGGCTGCTGAAGGCATTCAGTGTGTCCCCACACTAGATTCAGGCAACAAGCTGTGCAGATAAGTGGTAACCACCCCAATCTATAACTAGCCTTTGCAGTATGGTGCACATGGAAAGGGCTTTGCACACTACAAACAACAGAACATTTCCCAGCACATTTGCCAGCTAGCCTGCAATATTGTAAATGTTTGCTTTTGGGCTTAATAATGCTTTAAAATATTGTCACGACTGATGCATTTCTGTTCTTTATGTGTACACATGTATGTTTTGAGTACACAGAATGTTTCGAGTCGAAATACAAGATCTTCGATAAATAAACCAGAATCATATTTACTGGAGAATTTTTGGCATACCATTTGACACAATTCACCTTAATCTTTTTACGAACTATCCATGAGATCTTCCATTTTGCCATTTTTTTTAATCTCACTTCTGTATACCACATTTTGCATACCAGGATTGCCTTATATATTCAGGATCATGAGATATTTAAAAGATAAGTTAAATATAGTATGATTATTTGTGTTACTGATTTTGTAACATCAACAGCACTGTCTTCTATGTTACTACAGAACGTGTCTTGGAAAAATCACTCCACCGACTTATACTGAAGCCTCTAAAATCATATCTAATGTCTGAAATTCAGAGAGAAATGGAGGAAAACGGAGAGCTGGAGAAAACTTGGGAAGAATATGCAAAGTGTAAAGAAAGGTGGATCATCACTTCTTGGAGTAACATTAAAAGCTCCTGTGGGTCAAGATCTGGAGAAAATTCGACAGAAATTGTTCAGAATGCAATTAAAATATTCCCCTTGTGATAAGGTCCGCCTGTTGTTACAAGCCTGCAGAGGGGTTTATAAAAGCATGGACACACAGCAAGGTAATAATGAGTGCAGATCCCTATGTAGCCTTTGAGCTTCTCTAATCACATAGTAATGGTGTCACCATTTCCACTAAAGAAAAGCTTTAAAGTGGAATTCAAGCACTACTACTTTCCCCCTCTTCCTACCTATCCTGCCTTCCCTGTGTAAAAAAAGATTTAAAGACTTACCTTTGTTCAGTCTGCTCAGGTTCGGTCATGTGATCCTGCAGTTCCGGCTCCCCTGTATCATGGAGCACTCAACAATGGCTGGATATTCTGAGAGCTCTGACTTTACCCATAGGCTCCCATGACCCAGCCATTGTCATTGCTTCCTCCTCTCCCCTGAAGCAGCCTCTCACTGATCCAGGGGAGCCACAGCTGCAGGATCAAGTGACCAGACTGGAGCAGAATTATAATAGGTAAGTATACTGATATTTTTTTTTACAAAGGGTAGGCCAGATAGGTAGGTGATGTAGGTGAGGGGGGGAAAAGGGAAGACTCTTAGGGCATGAGGGAGTTGGAAAAGCTTGACTATATATCTAACTCTGTTAATCAATTTATTTGTAGTGACAGCATTGCTAACATCTATTTACACTTTTTTCATTGTATGGGCCAATTCAGATTGTCAGCTTTTCACGTTTACTTTATTATACAATAAAATAGATAGGGGAATATATATTCTACATATATTTAATTTGTAAAATTAAATTTTTTTGGAACTTACTTGTATCTGAGCACCACAAACTGAAAACACTATATATTTATTTTTTAATAATCAAAGACAACTCACCCATCCTTGTCTCCATACTGTTAGTTGTTCAAATCACTTTTAACAACAGCCCCATTTCTAGCTGTGGCCATCTTGAGCAAGGATACATGCTTCATGCAGAATTTAGTTCCTGGAATCCATTTGCCTTTAGCTCATGCATGCAGGCAGGTGGGTGTGCTTAGCTGAGAAAGAAAGAACCCCCAGATGAAAGAAGAAACAGCCCATGAAGACTTATGGGATGCAGGATATCATTTTGGCCTGGGACAGAAACCAGTAAGCAATTGAAGAAATGTAAAAGAAAAATTTTCATGTAAATATAATATATCTTCTATTTACTAATGCTAGCAGCATAAAGATTAAACATAGTTAACGTTGATTGAGAGTTTATTTCCACTTTTAAGAAATGCTAATATATTACAAAATGTTCCCAGTAAGTAGGAACGCATGCTTACAAGTGAGTAAAATGATGTATATGTATTGTAAGACAGTAGGTACACTTGTCTCTTCCAGATGACGCTTGTGGTGCAGATGAATTTCTACCTGCGTTGTGCTACGTGCTGGCGCTATGTGAGCTGTCTCACCTTCTGATAGATACTCAGTACACCATAGAACTGCTGCCACAAGAGTCTCTTATGGGGGAAGGTAAGAATATTACTAATTTGTATGTTAGTGTATATGATATACAATTCTACATTGTGTTTATATTTGTAACATTTGTATTACAAACTCACACTGTGCCATTGTTCATGTACAGTTTATCCTATCCTATATATCTTGTAAAAAAAGCAAATAGGAAGTAAATTGGATTTTAATTTCCAGCTTCATATAAAGATTACTTGTTTAAAATAATAATATAGAAGGTTCAATAGCTTAGTAATGATAGATAGTTGTGTTGTAATGTAAATAAAACCCTTAGCTTTAAAAGATATAAAGAACACATTTGGTTGTTGGACTTGTACATGAAGGTTGCCACCTTGGAGGGGTTCCATAGTAATGAAGCAATGGTGGAGTATGTAGTGGCAGAGTGGCTGGGTGGCAGGTAAATTGAGTGGCTGGGTGGCAGGTTTATTGCCGGCTAGCAGAAAGGAGCAGTGTCAGGGGTGCTGGTATGCACTATGGTTCAGAGTCAGGATGGCAGGAGGGTTTAGTGTTAGGGGTGCTGGTATGCAGTAAGGTTCAGAGTCAGGATAGTAGGGGGGGTTCAGTGTTAGGGGTGCTGGTATGCAGGAAGTTTCAGAGTCAGGATAGCAGGGGGGTTCAGTGTCAGGGGTGCTGGTATGGAATAGTTTCAGAGTCAGGATAGCAGGGGGGTTCAATGTTAGGGGTGCTGGTATGCAATAAGGTTCAGAGTCAGGATACAAGGGGGGTTCAGTGTCGGGGTGCTGGTATGCAGGAAGGTTCAGAGTCAGGATAGCAGGGTGGTTCAGTGTTAGGGGTGCTGGTATGCAGGAAGGTTCAGAGTCAGGATAGCAGGGGGGTTCACAGTGTTAAGGGTGCTACTATGCAGGAAGGTTCAGAGTCAGGATAGCAGGGGGGTTCAGTGTTATGGGTGCTGGTAACCAGAAAGATTCAGAGTCAGGATGGCAGGGGGGTTCAATCTCAGTGGTGCTGGTATGCAGTAAAGTTCAGAGTCAGGATAGCAGGGGGGTTCAGTGTCGGGGTGCTGGCATGCAGGAGGGTTCAGAGTCAGGATGGCAGGGGGGTTCAATGTCAGGGGTGCTGGTATGCAGTACAGTCCTGTCCAGGGATTCAGCTGTGTTCTGAACCTGAGCCGATTCTTCAATCGGCCATCGGATGCTGACACCACCATCTTGACTAAGGGAAACCGGCGGTGAAGCCTTGCGGCAGTGAGGAGGCAGAAAAGCTTTAAATGAGCTGCCTAATGCACCAAAAAGATGCATGTACTATTTTTTTTTACACAACACATATCCTTTGACAAAGTGGATGGAGTGCCGTTAAGATTGAAGGAACCACAGCACATGTGTTAACATGTGGGGTAATGCACAATCTATTGTATTGCACCAGTGTAATCCCAGTCTGAACTTAATCTTAAATCCTCATACAAATGATGAGAATATCAGACAAATGATTGTCCTTTTTTTTGCATGCTAGTCTCATTTAGAAAATGAAGCAGTTACTAAAGTTAGGAAAATTCTAATACTACAGAATACAACTTTGGAAGTAATGTAATATATTATATTATATTGTATTGTAGTGTATACGAATACTGTACTGAATAGACTAAAATCATTGGTACTGGTATCGTACGAGAAAAAAAATGTAATGCTTGTCTCTTAATTTTGCGTGAACTGTCATGATTGGCTTTCGAAAGCTGTGTACTAACGATCAGATTATCGGATGATCGTTCCAAAAGTGGTATTTTTCAAATTTTCTCATCAAGTGTATTAGGCTTTACTCTAATTTGAATAATGAACCCTTTTGTCATTCCCTCCTCATTCTGTGTTTTTTCTCTTTATCAGGAGGTTATTATCTGACCAGTATATCTGCCTCCCTGTCTGTCCTATGTTCACTACATACTCACCCCCAGGATGCTGCTCTGTCACTTAGTGAGTGGCATCGGAGGAGGCAAGGCTTGCCATCACTCAATGACTTACAGGTATCCTTTGAATATGGATGCACATAATGTTGTAAGCTGAATTATGGGACACAGAGGTTTCCTTTATAAAACGTTATCATTTTTAGGAGGGTGACAGGACAAATGTAAGCATAATAGTACTTATCCTGATTTACAACTAACCTTAACTTCCATTCACTGTTATAAGTGATTTTTTTAGATTGGTTCCATAAAATATGCAGGAGAAAATTATGAAGTTAACAATTAGTTTGCCTCTAATCATAATGCTATAATACATAAGCAACATAGAAGTAGATGCTGTATATTGTCCTTTCACTGGTTAAGGTTCTAGCAAATTTTGGAAGGTTAAAGACTATTGTAGTCCTTTGTCCTGCAATACTGATTGTATCGCAGCATGGCAAGATGAAATACTTATGATATTTCTGCTGTAAGTGTTGCTTGCCAGACCACACATTTAGTGAAAACTGTCAGTATTTGTTCAATGGACTTTGGTTTTTGGACAACTCTGATATTCATGATTTGGAAATAAATATAATTTTTTTTGGTAGTGATACACCCTAAAATTTATTTTTAACAGTAGGTTCATTTTATTAGACGATGAAGTTTGATATTATTAAAAAAATATAAGTTAAAAACTAAATCAAAGCAAATTTGTACTGTGGCCATGCACCCCAAAGCAACTGGAAGGTATTAATTGTATCCTCCCAAGCAGCAATATATTCCCTCATCCCCCCACTGTCCATGACAGCAAGAACAGGAAACTCTCCAAGTCACCCTAGTTGGCACTTGCACTGGGCTGAGGACTCTCTCCACATCCTCATGTGACAACACTGGTCTATCACCAAGAACCAGACATGTCACGTATGAGTAAGTGAGTTTCATGTTCCCCCATACCCATAAGTATCACATAGTTTCTTAACTTCTGTGGCTAAATGCAGGGAAAGGAACATAGGAAAGATAATCATGTGCTGCTGGGGAAGGGGGAGGTGGCTTTAATGTAAACTTGTTTTCGCTGCATGGGCAAAGCACATATTTGCTTTAGAGTACTTAGGGCTAACCTTTCTTATTTAATGGTTAAAACCCTTGTTAGTTTTCAGATCTGTAGAATGATCAGGAACCCAGTAGTTGTTAGTTTCAGTTCCTGGGGTTAGTACTGGACCTGGCAGCTGGAGGTTCCAGCACTAGAAGAGAACTGCTATGTCCAGGTGTGGTTTTAAAATGAAACCTGAAACGCAAGTGGTTAAAATCTGGAAGCTGTGTCCAATAAAAAAAAGGTCAGAGGGAAAATAATTAGTCAAATATGTTTTAATATTTGCTAGGTGCTATATTTGGGTTCTCTAACCTATTATTTATAATGGCATTTGCAATCCTCTTATTTATGTGGTTTGTAGTGGTTTGGTTGTAAGGTCATTTGACCAGTTTGGGTTTTATAGCAATTTCTCAGTGTTGACAGATACATCATATCCATTGTCATTTTAATTCATTTCTGGGGCAAAGGCTGATCCTGTGTGCTTGTGGAATTAATTATAACCATTTTCCCCATTGTTACTTTTTACTTTATTACAGTGTAAAGGGCACACACCAAGATTTGTCAGCTAGTGGAGCTGCCGAATTTTGACAAATGGGTAGACAAAATCAGACAGAATTATCTGATGAAGAGGGTAAAGGTGACCTCAGACATAAGCTTTGGATGATTTGGGCCAGATCTAGCTAAGATCTCATTTTACTGGTTCCTCCAATAAGTCTCAGAGAACGTTGTGGTTGGACAAATTAGAAAACATGTCTGATTGCTATGCTTTACTTTAAAGTTAGTCCTGTACCAAGGTCTTTGAAGGAGGAATCAAACACAAAGAGATACTAATAATTTGAGGTCATAGCTGGGGGAAAAAAAGGTTGTAAATATAAAAGAAAAGCTGTAATATTTGTCTAGCAGTATATGTTTTCAAACATGTCTCTCTATTTCAGAACTTTTTACGAGTTGCCCATCAAGATCCAGTTAATGGCTGCACTACTAAGACCATCCTCCTGAAGCCATCACAGACAGTAGCTGACCTAACTCATCTTTGTGCTCTCAAATTCAAGCCTTCTAACCCAGAAGACTTCTCCATTTTTCTACAGTGTGGTGGGGACCAACAACTGTTACCTCTGGATGAACATCCCCAGGAGATAAAATCCAAGCTCAGAGAGACTGGTTCCAGCTTTTTCTTCTGTTACCAAAGAACTGAGGATGATGCTGCAGAAAAGGACGTTGAAGCCTCTGAACTCTCACATGTATAAAAAAATCAGAAATGTGTCACTATGTACAGTAGGTTGGGACATAAGGACAGAATGTCCAAGTATTCTGATATACTTTGGATATGAAGTTTCCAACTAACTAAGCATGATTTTCATGGCCTGAGATGTAGCTTCTCTGTAGTGTTCAACATTTTTTTGAATGTCACCAATGTAATATCCACAAAGCAGTATATGCCTTACCATGCAAGTGAAAGAGATACTGTACGTTCGTTATACATTTCCTGGGCTAAATTTTGCATAGATTGCCAATTGTACAGATGCTCAGAATTCCCTTGAATGAATGGATACATTTTGAAAATAGTTTAGGAGAAAAACAAAAAGATCAATACATACCTGAGGAACTGGAATAAGTATTTATTTTTGAATGCTAGTGCAATTTAAAGCATGTATTTAACACGCTGTTTTATATGATCAGCACTTTAGATATTTTAAACACTAAGCTCTTTTGCACATTACTTGAAGTGCTCAAAATCAAGAGTAGCAAAATAGGGTTTATAAATAACATTTGAAAATAGACTTGATTTTATCCTGTCTGTTACTGTATTTTTGGGAAAGAAACTCTGCCAGGGATTTTAACATTCAACGTCATGAATTCCCAGTGTATATTTTTTATTTAGGAAAATATCTTTGTTTTAAAAATTATTTAATTGTATAATAGAATGTGATCAGTTTACTGTAAATATCTTTATCAATGAATTTGAAAGAGTAGCTATCGGAAAAGATTTAAAAAAATTACATATAACGATTCAATCTGTCAACAGTAGTAATACAGCAGTTTTTGGTCTTTCCTGTAACTTAGATTTGTTTGCTGATCCTGCCAATAGATCTGTTGTTTTTCCACTTCTTTTAACTGGCCAAAGTGTGCGCAACATTTTCAATTACAGGAGTGGGTGTTAACCAATAAACACTGCACTTGTACCTGTAACTGCTTAAAGCGGTATTCAACCCCCCCAAAAAACATTTTATATATTGCAGATTGCCAAAACATATGCTTCCTGTGTTATCATGTCTCTGGTTTGGATGGAGGAGTAATGTAGACACTTCTGAACAACAGAATTGTCAACCTGGGAGAGGGTAGTGTTAGATGCACTATTATGCACACAAATTTGTATCGACTTGACTAGCAAATTAAAGCTGAACACCTGCTAACACTTTTCCTTTCAATAGATTTTTATTACAAAGTTTTGAAGTCAAAGAATACAAACTCGACTGCTGTCTTATGAGTAAACAGAAACATTACAGTGAAGGGTAACTGTCTAAAGCAGTCATAAACAAACAAAGCATAAGTGTAATTAGTGACCTTATAGATGGTATATCAGAAGAACATAAATCAATCATGTTGTGCCATTAAATCAACGTCAAAGACAAGGAGAGGGCTACTCGTCTGTAGCCTATTGGCTGACAATAGTGGGTGATTATGGCATTGAAAGTACAAAAGCATATATTCCAATTGTGAGATGTACTAAACACCTCGTAGGTCATAAAACATCCCTGCGGTACAGCCAAAGAATAAGAACCGAGAAAGAGGAGAAAACTAGGGAGGGACAGGAGACAAATATCGAAAGCGCTGGGGTCAGGATTGTGGGACATATAAGGTTATAATGAAGTGAAGCTATCTATGGATAACGTGGGGTGGGTATGTCAGATCCATGGAGTCCATATTTTAAGGAATCTCTCATGGGTATCTGAAAGAATGCTAGACAGTTTTTCAGTGATCAGGAAAAAGTCAAGGCGGCGTTGAACTTCCGTGAAGGATATGAACTGTTGTTTCCAGGCTTTTTGCTATAGTTTGTTTGGCCGCCAGTAATACATATGTAGCTAACTTGAATTGGTGTTTTAAGTGTAGGAGGACATACCATGGATCTCTCGGGAAAGGGTAAGTTAATAATGAGTGGAGGAGTTTGAGGACTTTTGACCAGAATCGAGAGAGCATAGGGCATGTCCACCATGTGTGTAAAACATCTCCCGGAGTATTGCAACCTCAGAAACAGGTGTTAGGGGTGGATGGGTGGAGGTGCGCTAGATGAGATGGGACTAAGTTCCACCTTATGACTGTGTTAAAAGGCCAATTCCATGGTAAGGATATTAATAGAACATGAGGTCAAGGTTGTCTGTGACCAGCTGCCCTGATCTTTGGTTCTTTTGAGCTCCCTTTGCCACCTGGAAATGTACGTTTGATTATTGGGGTTTTGTAGGTTAGTCAATTGTGAATATACAGTATGATAGAAATATGTTTAGGGGAGATTGGTGTCTGGAAGCAGATGCGTTCAAATAGAGACAATTGAGTTGTCGGGTCCTTGTTGGCAAGGACCAAAGTCACCCAATGTTTAATTTGTAAAAAGCGAAAGAGTTCGGTGTGAGGGACTTGATATTTGTCCCTTATTTCTGCCCAGGTGTAAACAGATCGGCCCATGAGAAAAGAGTGGACACACTGAAGATTGTGGGAAACCCACCAATGGAAGGCATTAGGGTACTCAAGGCCAGGCAGAAACAGAGGAGAAGGAGTGGTAAATGGGAGGAGATTGGGCCGCTGGTATATTTCCTGGAGTCCCATATGCGCAAAGAATGAGCCATTAGGGGACTGATGGTTGTGGGCTGGGATCTCGGGGGGAGCCATAATAGCGACATAGGGGAAATCGGATGGCAGGAGAGCA